CTGCATTCATGAATACAATAGCTTAAATACATGAAATACATCTTATAACCACAAAAAAGGTATCTATAATCCGTAATATAGCAAATGGTATCTATAGATGGCTAATTACTACCAAAAGATAGTGCTTTATGAAAATTTCTCTTAAATAAATAAGTCTTAATCCATTGGGCTAGCCCATTTAATTGGGCTAAAATGATGAGCCTACTTCATTAAGCCCAAGATGTCATCTTCCTAGAGGCCCAGTTTGGTGCCACGTGTCAAATGACGTGGCGCGCCAAGTCAAGCGGAAGAGCCAATAGGACCATGCAACATGTCAAAATGACAAGGCATGCCCAGTCACACTAAAAGGCCAATGAAATCGCNTGCTGAGTATCAAGCATTAATACTTGGGCTTGAAATGGCCGTTGATATGAAGCAATTGCAATTGCAAGTCTTTGGTGACTCCCAGTTAGTGGTCAATCAGCTTTTGGGTAGTTACGAGGTTTAGAAGCCTGAACTACGCCCATATCATGATTACGCTAAAAAGTTGATGGGGTGGCTCGGTGATGTGACTATTCAGCATGTGCCAAGGAAAGAAAATAAGAAGGCTGATGCTTTAGCTGCTCTAGCTTCATCATTAGCCCTGCCTGACCAAGCGCAAGTTACCGTCTGCCAAAAATGGATAGTACCGCCGCCAAATGAGGCTGAAGGTGAAGAAAACGAACTCAAGCATCTTGTTGCTGTTTCTGAAGTTGAGAAAGAAGAATGGCGACAACCCATTATCAACTACTTATGCTATGGGATATTTCCAGAAAATCCAAGGAGAAGGAATGAAATCCGTCGTCGTGCACCTCGCTTCCTTTACTACAAGGATACTCTATACAGAAGGTCGTTCGAGGGAGTACTCTTGCGATGCCTAGGAGAAGAAGAAGCACTCCAAGCTTTGTAAGAGGCATATTCTGGGGTATGTGGGTCACACCAGTCTGGACCAAAGCTCCACTTCCATATAAAAAGGATGGGATATTATTGGCCTACGATCGTAAAAGGTTGCTTGGACTACACTCGAAGATGCAAGGCTTGTCAATTCCATGCGAATTTTATTCATCAACCTCCTGAAGTGTTGCACCCGACTGTTGCATCCTGGCCATTTGACGTTTGGGGATTGGATGTTGTTGGACCACTGCCAAAGTCCTCTGGTGGCCACCTATACATCTTGGCTGTAACTGACTACTCAAAATGGGCTGAAGCTGTTGCTCTTGAGGAGGTAAAGAAGGAAAATGTTGCAAGTTTCATCCGAGTAAACATCATCTATCGCTTTGGCATTCCCCGTTACATAATAACGGATAATGGCAAGCCGTTCGACAATAGGTTGATGAACAAGATTTGTGAGCACTTTGGCTTCAAGCAACGTAACTCTTCGATGTACAATGCTGCCGCCAATGGTCTAGCCGAGGCATTCAACAAGACTCTATGCAACTTGTTAAAGAAAGTCGTCTCCAAATCCAAACGAGATTGGAATGACCGTATGGAAGAAGCTCTATGGGAATATAGGACGACTCACCGCACGCCAACACAGGCGACTCCTTATTCACTCGTTTATGGAGTCGAAGCCGTCTTGCCACTTGAGCGTCAAATACCTTCATTACGACTGGCTATTCAAGAAGGGATCACTGATGAAGAAAATGCTCGACTTCGATTAGCAAAGTTGGAAGATCTTGATGAAAGAGATTGGAAGATCAACAGAGTCTTGAATGTTATCAAGCTCGATTATCTCGTGCCTTCAATAAAATAGTTCGCCCGAGATCCTTTCAAGTAGGAGATCAAGTCCTTGCCGTATGAAGACCCATAATTACTTCCCATAAACCTGTAGGGAAGTTCACTTCAAAATGGGATGGGCCATATGTCGTACAAGAAGCTTACTCAAGTGGGGCTTACAAGCTGGTTGATGCAGATGGCATAAGAATCGGCCCCATCAATGGCAAATTCTTAAAGAAGTATTATCCTTGAAATTGCGACGCTCCTCGACGTACGAACCTAAACTGCAAGTCATGACGCTCCTTGACGCACGAGCCTAAACTACATGTTGCTACACTCCTGGCCTGCAAGAGTATAAACTGTGCACTACCCAAAAAAAAGTCCGCTAGGTTGAAAATCTCGAAAGAGGCGGCCTAGGCAAAAGTTAGGACGTAAAAAAAAAATCTACCCAGTCTGAACTACGGTATGACTTGATCCTCTTCACCGAGGTACGTAGGCAGCTTAGAGTTTCATTCAAGTTCAGTCACATAAGTTCAAAAGGTACATATTGCCCCAATTGTTGTTCGAATGAAGTATGAAGGAATGTAAAATCAAGCTGAAATGCCATCCTCCTACTGAACTTTGACCTCATTTAATTTAAAGGGGGCAACCCTCCATGGTAAATTGATATCTTCAATGGGCCAATTTTAGGAGGATGTGAAGTATTTGCATTGAAGTCCAGGGATTCTCTATGTCTTCAGGTTCGCCAAACCTTCAAGTTTGTTGGTCTCCAAGTCCGCCCTCTGCCTTAAAAAAAAGGGGAAGAGAAGAGAGACATCAAAAGGAAACACAAGTATAAGGAAAAAATTGCTTGGCACAACGTTTCAAATTCAATGAGACTTGAACTCAAGACATTTGTGAGAATATGGCTCTTAAATTTCGATTGATGGAAAGTAAGACATCTTCCGATCTCGAGGCTTCCATACCAAGATATGAATTTTTGTGAGACTGCGCAAATCTGGTATTGATGGCGTAGTGCAATGTAAAGTTGATTTCAAAATATTATCTGGGACGATTCTGAAGTTGTTTGATTGAGAATTTTGGATATGTTCTAGATCTTGAAGTCTAGTTTTCTTGAAATCAAACGGTTCATAATTTCGACGTTCCTACACCAAGATATGATTTTTTTGGTGAGACAGCGCATATCTGGAATTGATGGCGTGGTGCAATATAAAGTTGACTTCAAAACATTATCTGGGACGATTTTGAAGTTGTTTGATCAAGAATTTTGGATTTGTTCTAGATCTTGAATTCTAGTTTCAAGAAATTAAACGGTTCGTGATTTCGACGTTCCTACTTCGAGATACAAAACTTTTGGCAAAGTCGCGCAAATCTGAAATTGTCGGTGTGTCAGAATTTGGTATTGAATTCGAAATATTATCTGAATGTATCCTTAAGGCACTAAATCTTGCATTTTGGATATGTTATATATTTTGAAGTTAAGTTTCTATTAGATCAAACGGTTCGTGATTTCGACGTTCCTATAGTAAGACACACAAGTTTTGGTGAAGTCGTGCAAATCTGAAACCGTCGCCACGTCAGAATTTAATATTGATTTCGGACTATTATCTGAAACTATCCTCAAGGTATTAAATTTTGAATTTTGGATATGTTATAGATTTTCAAGTTAAGTTTCCATGAATCAAACGGTTCATAATTTTGATTTTTCTACACCAAGATATGCTTTTTTTTGTGAGACTGCGCAGATCTAAAATTTTCTACGTGGTGGAATCTAAAGTTGGTTTCAAAATTTTATCTGAGTCGATTATAAAGGTGTTTGATTCTAAGATTTGGATATATTTTAGATATTGAAGTCTAATTTTTGAGAAATCAAACGGTTCATTATTTGGACTCTCCACGACAAGATATGAATCTTTTGTTACAAGCGCGTAAAGCTGAAAATTATGCGACTAAGATAAAAGTCGGACAATATAAAGCAAAGAGAAGCTGAAGTATTTAAGTTCTCGAAGTCTAAAAGTAGAAGTCTCCAAGTTGAAATCTTCAAGTCCGTCGGTCTTCAAGTTGAAGTCTTCACGTTCGCCACTCTTCAAGCTAAAATATTTAAGCCCTTCAAGTCCGAAAGTTGAAGTCTTCAAGTCCGTTAGTCTTCAAGTTTCAGTCTTCAAATTCGCCGGTCTCAAAGTTGAAATATTTAAGCCTTCTAAGTTGAAGTCTTCAAGTCCTTCGGTCTTCAATTTTCAGTCTTCAAATTCGCCGATCTTAAAGTTGAATTGTTTAAGCCCTCCAAATCTTCGAGTTGAAGTCTGCAAAGTCCACCAAATCTTCGAAGTTTTCCAAGTGATCAAGTCGATGTTGTCAATTCGATGTCGTCCTCGAATTGAAGCTTTATAATTTTCCAATCTTAAGGTGGACATATAAGTCCCTTTGCACCTTAAGTTGGCCTCTTCGTGGGTTTGTCCTTAAAAGGAACTATAACTTTCCAATCTCAAGGTGGACATATAAGTCCCTTTGCATCTTAAGTCGGCCTCTTCGTGGGTTTGTCCTTAAAAGGAACTATAACTTTCCAATCTTAAGGTGGACGTATAAGTCCCTTTGCACCTTAAGTTGGCCTCTTCGTGGGTTTGTCTTTAAAAAGAACTATAACTTTCCAATCTTAAGGTGGACATATAAGTCCCTTTGTACCTTAAGTTGGCCTCTTCGTGGGTTTGTCCTTAAAAGGAACTATAACTTTCCAATCTTAAGGTGGACATATAAGTCCCTTTGCACCTTAAGTTGGCCTCTCCGGTAATCGGGCCACATTGAGAGTAATCTCTCCGGTAGTCGGGCCATTTTGAGAGTAATCTCTCCGGTAATCGGGCCACATTGAGAGTAATCTCTCCGGTAGTCGGGCCATTTTGAGAGTAATCTCTCCGGAGTCGGGCCACATTGAGAGTAATCTCTCCGGTAGTCGGGCCATTTTGAGAGTAATCTCTCCGTTAGTCGGGCTACATTGAGAGTAATCTCTCCGGTAGTCGGGCCATTTTGAGAGTAATCTCTCCGGTAGTCGGCCCACATTGAGAGTAATCTCTCCGGTAATCGGCCATGAAAGTAATCTCTCCGATATTTGGGCAGGGATAAGTATCCATCCCCTCACACCCTAAGACCGCCTTCTTCATGCGTGGATCATCTTATTGGACAAGAACATATCTTTCTCGCTTGACCTACAAAAAAAAAAAAGACAACAAAACAAGGTGGAATTGCATGATGCAACAGTGCATTTGAAACAGCTTCAGAAAAACAGGTTGAAGGGGAATGGGGGTGACAATGGGGAGGAAGCCTTCATCACTGTGGAACCCACAAAGTTTAAGAGACTGGGTGAGAAGACGACATTAAGATCAGATTTGGCCACTGCACTAGATATTCGAGGTTTTCAGAGGATTACTCGATTTAATCATTGTGATGTTGATCAGATAAAGAAGGAAATTAGTGAAAATGATATACCGGTGTCTTATTCTGGAGGTGGTGTGCCTGAAAAGTCTATACGTAAGGCTTCACTGGAGGAGATTCTGTGCAGATTGCTTAGTTTCTTGAAGCCAGAAACTTTCGTCGGAGCTGTTAAAGCCATTAACCAGAAAATCCTCTCTGTTTTAGACGAGTCAGAATCGGGTAGGGTGGATGTGGGCATGTTTTTTGCTGTTATTGCCCCTATCTGTGGAGGACCACCAGACAAACGGAAACGCTTTGCATATGAGGCTCTTTTGTGGCGACCCGTGAATGAGGGCAGCAACCAGATAAGGAAAACTGATGCTCAGAGGTATATCAAGCTTTTAAGAGCTATTTATATTCCTTCACACGGAACGAGTGAAATGCTAGAAATTCATGGGGATACGGACACATCATTGGTGTCTTTAGCAGAATTCCTTGTGATGTTTGATGATCCTGATTGGGGTTTTGGCATTATGTCTACTTTGTTGAAGCTTGAAATCGGGGATAGGAACCGTCATGGTAGCCATGTTTGTGCAACTTGCCGCTATCCTATCATTGGGCCTCGCTTTAAAGAGATGAAATCACATTTTAGCTTGTGTGGTCAATGTTACAGTGAAGGAAAAGTACCTCCAAGCTATAAGCAGGAAGCGTACAAATTTAAAGAGTACGCAAATGAAGCTGAGGCGTTGAAAGATAAGTGCTTGTGGTTTGGTTTGCATTCTAAAGGCTCCTCACCTACTGCTGCTTAGCTATTAGGATGTAATGATCTGTGTGAATTATTTTACTCAAGGAACTTGTGTGTTGGGCTTGTACATAACCCTTTCGAGTTGTGATATCTTTGTAGAGTCTCGTGGTTTTTGCTGGTGCCTTTATCGTTTCCTAACTCCATTTTGAGGTTCATCAATTGTATCATGCGTAAGATGTTCAATTATGAAGTTTATGTTACTCCCTTTGACATCTACTGCCTAAGTTTTCTGGGTCATGTAACAATTGATTCTAGTTATTAATAGAAGGGTATAGATTGCAGATTTATGGTTAAAATATCATCTTATTAACAAGTTAAAAGAGACCCCACACAGTTAGGTTAGGAAAGTATCGCGTATTGCGAAGGTAAAATAAATATTGGCAGATTTCCTGCTGTAGAAGTTCGGCTGGAGAATTACAAACTTGAAAATGGCTATCTTGATGTTTGGAGCCTGGGTTCTTGAAGTAGCAGTGGACACCAAAGAGGACTCCGATGACGGTACTGTTGATAGCATATCTCTGTTTGCCGTTTTTATATGGAGCAGAGTTGGACTTGGCAATACTTGTATGCGAAGGCTTGATCAACCCACAATAATAACCTCGCCTTGCTCTTGCTCTTACATTCCCAACTGCTTAGGAGGAGAGTTTTTCAGTTTCTGAATGAAACTCAATACTTTCATGGATCGTTTCTCTTAAATTCAATGTATGCAAACTCTGTCTCTGTCTTTGTCTTTGTTTGGAGCAAGATAAATAACTTCACTAACCATCTAAAGTAATGACTTAACTTTTCATCTATGTGATTAACAATAAAAATTATGATTTACATTTCAACATCTACGGAGTTCGAGTATTAGGGTAGGAGGTAGTTGAGTCTTGGCTTATGTCATGAGTTTGTGTGTCTAGTCTGGTAGGTATACTATTTCGCTTTTGCTGTGTCTCGTTCTTCTTGATTGCATGTTATTCCTATTTTTCATATTATTTCTGTGCTATTACTGATATTGTCTCCTTTTGTCTTTCTGTCTTCTTGAGCCGAGGGTCTTTCGGAAACAGNTGAAATTCAGTCAAAACCAAGTCTAATCTTCACCAAAACCCCTCAAAATTGAGAAACCATATTCCCGATTATTTTCAACAACACCCAATCCAAACAAATAATGATTTTTGAAAACCCAAATTTGAATTCAAAGCTTTCAAGCTTTTTAATGGCTGTCAATGGTAGAAAATATCTGGAAGAATATTTACTTCCATAATTGTAGCGCGCCTAAATAGGAATATCTGGAAGAATATTTAGTTCCAGATTTGTAGCACGCCTAATTAGGAAGGAATCAACTCCTAATAATTGGTATTTAATGAATGGTATATATTTTATAGAATAACTGTGAACATGACGGGTAAATATGAAACTATGCACATTTTTGGCAATAAGGTTTCATATATGGTATAGGAAGGAAAAAGTCTCTTTAGAATTTGTGGTCCTAAACAAGTCAAAAATGGGCCCAGAGTATTTGTGTGATTATAAAAGCTTCTTATTAAGGGTAGAATTGTAAGTTTAAGCTAAATTGTTACCAAATATAGAAAGGGGTCATTCTTTTTGGAATGGACCAAGAAGGAAATAGGTTCACATAAACTGGAACAGAGGGAGTAAAAGAAACAGCCTGCATCTGTATGCAAGGAATCAAATCAGCTGGACCATATTCTTAGAGCCTGTTTGGAAAGCCACCCTGTAATTGGATTTGGGTGTAATTACACAGTTTTAACATGTTTGGCTGACCAAATAATTACTTGGTCAGCATGTAATTGGGTGTATTGAGGAGGTGCAATTACACTCTACAATTCTCAATGGGGAGCTGAGAATTACATGGCATAATTACTAGGTTATTTTTGAATATCTGTTCTTTTTAATTTACTTTTTGGTTTCTATTCTTTTTTTCTTTTTGATTTTTTAAATTTTAAAATTCTTTTTTTTTTTCAGATATTAGTTTTTACATTATTTATTATTTATTTCCTTGTTTCTCATTTCCCAACCTTTACTTCATGTGTTTTTAAATAATTTCTTATATTTTATTTCTTTCTTATTTTTTTTATTAGATTTAGCTATATTATTATTCTAACTTTCCTAAAAGGTTATTGTAGGCATATAAATTTTATTAAAATTAAATTCATAAAATAATTTAGATTATATTTTAAATTCAAGAAAATATTGGTCCAAATAAATACTATGGGCTAATATAATTGAATTAATTATATAAATCCAATATATATGGATTAAATAAGTCTTAATTCATTGGGCTTGCCCATTTAATTGGGCTAAAGTGATGAGCCCACTTCATTAAGCCCAAGATGACATCTTCCTAGAGGCTCAGTTTGGTGCCACGTGTCAAATGACGTGGCGCGCCAAGTCAAGCAGAAGAGCCAATATGATCATGCCACGTGTCAAAATGACAAGGCATGCCCAGTCACACTGAAAGGCCAATGAAATCGTGCCACGTGTGCAAGTAACATGTTCTGGCCAATCAAATGCGGCCATGTCACCCTTCAATTTGATTGGTCGGAAAGAGTTTGTTCTTATCATGACTCTTCCCTTCAACAACTATAAATAAGGGTCTTCATAACTCAGAAAAGGCACCAAAAGTTATAACAAGAAGCAAGAAAGAGCTCGTGGATCAAACACTGCAAATTCCTCCACAAGTTTCAAGCTTCAAGCAATCAAGTTCAAGTTCAAGCAATCAAGTTCAAGTTCAAGAAATCAAGTTCAAGTTCAAGAACGAAGAACAGATCAAGTATTCAAGCTCAAGAACGAGGAAGAATTCAAGTATTCAAGATCAAGAACAAAGTCAAATCAAATACAAGGCGTTCAAGATCAAAGCTACTTGTTTGTGATAAAATTCGTGGCAACAATCAAAGTGTTCGCGACGGATAAATCAAATTCAAATTCAAGATCAAGCTCAAAGGTCCTTGAATTTATACTAGAAAAGTATAATTAGAGGAATCATAGAGATTGTACACTCAAATATTTGAAATAAAATACTACGATTGTTGCGATATTTTTCGGTCTTGATTTTATTTTCTCGACGCAAATTTATTGTCTACAAATTCTGGCACGCCCAGTGGGACAATCTCTACCTCTCATCTCAACTTTTCATTCACCAAATACCAAGAACATTGAAATGGCTTCAAAGAAAATCAACTCCGGTTCAACTTCCACCAAGGTTGCTAACTCCAGGTTCTATGCTGATGTGGAAAGCATCCTCGATGTCACCTTTGGAAGCTTCGGAGCAGTTACGAGAAGCAAAGCAAGCTCTTTAGGACAATAAGCACCCCAAGTACCGTCCGCATCAACCCCTATTTTTGGGATCTTCATCCTCAAAAGGAGCAAGATCTTCCACAAATGCATCTGTAGGAGGAAGCGATGTTGCTGAAAAGATCAAGAAAACTCTTTCTCTGCTTGACCTCTCCGGATCCAAGCACTCTGCTATGAAGGAAGATGATGATGCTTCAAGTGATGGATCCTCCCCACTTACACCACATAGCGTGAGCCGATCAAGGATCAATCTATGTGAAATCCATGCTACTCTCCGCCGTCCACGACAATCATGCAAGCTATGGTGACAAATACTTCATCCATGGAGGAGCAGTTGACAAACTTGACGGAAGCAATCGCTGGCTTGACTAAATGCATGCAAAATCAAGAGGCTAGAATCGATAAGCTAACAGCCAGGGTGGGAATATTGATGGAAGAAGAATCCACCCATGCACCCGGCAAGCTCCCAGAGGTGCTAGAGAGTGACTTTCCCCCAAGACAAGCAGCATCCACTAAGGCTATCCCTGTCTCATCTGAAGGGATGATTCCAATCGATCAATTGAAGGAGTTCATCGAAGGAACCATTAAGAACAAATATGAAGTTGCTGCCAAATCCTCCCTTACATATGCAAAGCCGTACACTGCAAGGGTCGATATGTTGAAGATACCTGCTGGCTATCAACCTCCGAAGTTTCAACAGTTTGATGGTAAAGGTAACCCAAAACAACATATTGCGCACTTTGTGGAGACATGCAATAATGCTGGGACTTATAGAGATTACCTCATCAAGAAGTTTGTCCGCTCGCTAAAAGGAAATGCTTTTGACTGGTACACGAACCTCGAGGCTGGATCTATCGATAGCTAGGATCAACTAGATCAAGAGTTCCTCAATCGCTTTTATAGTACGAGACGTACTGTGAGTATGATAGAACTTACAAATACTCGTCAACGAAAGGGGGAACCAGTTATCGACTTTATCAATCGGTGGAGGAATGCAAGCCTCAACTGCAAAGACAGGCTTAGTGAAGCTTCGGGCATAGAGATGTGCATCCAAGGCATGCATTGGGGGTTGCGCTACATCTTGCAAGGTATCAAGCCTGGCACGTTTGAAGAACTTGCAACTCGTGCCCATGACATGGAATTGAGCATGGCCTCCGCTGGAAATGAAAGGCTGCCCATCTACGAACCTCGTAAAGGGAATGACAAGCAAGAAGTCAGGAAGTGGGGCAAGTTCGTAGCCAAGTCTGAAACCAAAGAAGCTATGAATGTCAACACGTCACCTATGAAGTTCACGACGAAGGTGAGCAAGAAGCAGAGTATGAAATCCACTTCTTTCCATGATAAGCCAAGTGGAAAGTTGACTCTAAAGGAAATGCAAGAGAAAGAGTACCCATTTCTGGATTCTGATGTGCCAGCCATTTTCGAAGAACTCCTCGAGTTAAATCTTATTGAGCTTCCGGAGATGAAGCGACCAAATGAAGCTGGGAAAACAAATGACCCAAATTACTGCAAATATCACCGACTTGTAAGCCACCCTCTGGAGNCATGGCGCGCCAAGTCAAGCGGAAGAGCCAATATGATCATGCCACGTGTCAAAATGACAAGGCATGCCCAGTCACACTGAAAGGCCAATGAAATCGTGCCACGTGTGCAAGTGACATGTTCTGGCCAATCAAATGCGGCCATGTCACTCTTCAATTTGATTGG